ACTTCTGCCCAGAGTGGAGGGCACCCTTTACTTCTCTGACATGTAGGCCCCAAGGCTCCCTGGCTCCCAGCAGTGGTAAAATAGATGAAGAAATTAAGAGTGACGAGGGGTGGGATAGCCCAGGTAAGAAAATGACTCCAACCTGAGAAAGAAGGGAAGCAGACGGAGTGGAAGAAAATGAACAAGAGCTGGAGAAAGAGGTCACTTGGTAAAGCGCTTGCCTGGAGAGCCCAAAGATCCGAGTTCAATTCCCAGAACCTATGCTTAAAAGGAAAACCAGGCATGCTGGTGTGTGCTGGAAATTCCAGCATTAGGGAGGTGGAGACAGGAGGATCCCTGAAGTGCGTAGACCAGCTAGCCTATGTAGGGAGTTCCAAGTCAGTGAGAGACTCTCAAAAAGCAAGGTGGGTCTCGTGAGAAGGCTCAGCTGGTAAAGGTGCCAGCTGATGACCTGAGTTCCTTCCCCAGGACGCACATGGTGGAAGAAGAGACTAATTACTAATTGCTTCAAGCTGTCTTCTGGCCTCCACGTGTGGTGGGAAATGCATACCCACAGCGCGCACACACACACACACATACATATGCACCTGCACACATACGTATACACATAGAAGAAATTGAGAAAACAGGGTCCAACTGGGAGACCTGGCTGGGTGTGGTGTGGACCAACTTGAAATCAAAGCGAGCGTGAGGCTCTGCCTGTGACCCTCAGAAGATCAGGCCTGATACGAACAAACTTCTCTCCACCCCAGAGAGGACGCTGTCGACAGACCAAAGGAATAATTCCATTCCAAGTCTATCTTGATGAACTAGTGAATTTAGTAGGGTTACTTACAGGGGCGCAAGGGGGTGACCCACAAACAGCTGCATCATTAGCATGGGTGATAAAGTCTCCAAACTGCACAGATAGGGGCCCCACGTGACTCAATCTTCTACCCCCTGTGGAACCAAGCATGCTCCAAGAGCACACGCAGCTGGGACAGAATTACCTGCAGCTGGTGTGAGAGGGCAGGAGGGAGAGCTGGATGAAAGGTGAGGTGAGGGTCTGATGATCACCCCCCCAACACCTTTGTGTTGGTTTTTGTGATCTTGACACAGGCTAGAGTCATTTGGAAAGAGAGACCCTCGGCTGAGAAAATATCGCCATCAGGATGACACTGTGGGCCGTGTCATCCCTGGGCAGGTGGTCATGGGTTGTATGAGAAAGCAAACTGTTTTCAAAGGCTTGGTGTTTTGTCCCAGGCACCCCAAACACTACTAGGGTCCGTTATATAAGAGTGAGTGAATCCCTGGGGGAGAACGTCCCCACAACCAAGAGATTCTAAAACCTAGAGCTAAAGGTGGAGACTTGGAGGGTTTGCTGCTGGTTCAAACATTTACAATATAAGGCACCCAAAAACAAGAAAAAGAAAAAATCACCTGGGGAGTACAGTGCACTTTGAGAGCAGAGAGGATGGGTATCTTGTGGGCTAGGAAGGCTTCCTGGAGGAGGTGGTATTGATGTTTTTTTGAGTCCTGAAGATCAAGAAGTTAATAAGCACGTCCCTGAACCGCCTCCCACCTCCAGTACTAGGGAACAACTTCAGGTTCCCCTGGAACCCAAGAAAAGGACACGATTGCGGAGCCGCACCCTGTCATTGGAGACAGCCTGTCACCCCCGAGTCCCCACAGCTCTCAGGCCCCCTCACCTGAGTTCCTGGAGTGTGCCTTGGAGCTGCTTCCAAAGGGACTCTAATCTGACTGCTGCGGCTGCGAAGATGGATTAGCCACACAGCCACAGCCAGATCTTCCACAGTGGCCTGGCTCGGTCCTCGCAACCCACTGCAAGTGTGCGGGACCCTGGCTGCGGTGCCCGCTCCAACTGCGGGGGCCGAGGAAGTGTGCCCGAGCTCTCTGGAGCCAGGCCAAGCCCTGCTGACCTACCAGGCACATGGAGGTGGAGCTCAGGGATCCTGGCAAAAATCTCCGATGTCTCATTAACTCCCAACAAGCCACAGAAGCAACTGGCTGAGGACAGCTAAGAGCCCAAGGCCAGGATCCGCTCTAGACTGCTGGGGCCTCATTGCGTTCCCTCCGGTTCTTATAGTCTGGTCCTGGTTAAACTGATGTGTTAAACATCAGTTGTAGCTGGGTGCCCTGCCCAATCCCCAACCCACGAGCAATACACCTTAGGTAGGCTGGAGTCCTTTACTGAGACTTCACTTCACTTTTCCTAAACTTTTAAAAAATTTAATTAAAATTCACACCGCAAAACAATTCTTTCCTTTTAGAATTCATTTTTATTTATTTACTTGCCTTTTTTGGATTTTGTTTGTTCATTTGTTTTATTTTTGTTTGGTTTTTTTGTTTGTTTGTTTGTTTTGGTTTTTTGGTTTTGGTTTTGGTGTTTCAAGACAGGGGTTTTCTTTGTAGCCTTGGCTGTCCTGGAACTCGCTCTGTAGACCAGGCTGGCTTTGAACTCACAGAGATCTGCCTGCCTCTGCCTCCTGAGTACTGAGATTAAAGGCAAGCACCACCACCTCCCAGCTTGCTTTGTTAATTTTTGTAATGGTACTGGGAGTTGAACCCATGACAAGATTTCCACCACTGAGCCACGACCCCTCCAGGCCCTCACTGGACAATTCTAGGCCGTGCCTTGAACTCATCACAGGTCCCACGCTTGAACATGTCCCCCAGACCACCATCTGGTTCTGAAAGGTAAAGCCATGTGTCTTGCCTTAGTTTTCAACTAGAATGTAGGTCCCTGCACCCCAAACATTCTACCTTTCCGCTTGAACCAAGCCTGCTCCGTGTATGCTGGATGTTGGCCAGCTTGTGGCCAGCTCATCCTTCAATAGATTTGTACATAGAAATATTAGTGAGGAGACTGCTCACGTACCTGGTCTCACTTTGATATTCCCTGCTGCAGAGAAGGCCTCCTGCCTGTTCCCATCTGCCAAGCCAGAGCTCACACTGGCCTCCAGCAAATCCCATATGCCTATGCTAATGTGAGTCAGCAACCTGTCCCTAAGGCCAGTGCCATCAGTCAGAGCCATCAAAAGTCCCAAAGAACTCATGTGACTGTGAAATGTCCCCCACAGGCTCAGGTGTTTGAACTCTTCGTTCCCAGCAGATGGCACTGTTTGGGGAGGTTGTGGAACCTTTAGGGGGTGGAGTCTTGCTAGAGGAAGTGGCTCACTGGAGGTGGGCCTTGAGTGGCTCCACTTCCTGTTCGAACTGTACTCCTGACTGTGGCTATAGCATGGCAAGCTGCCTTCTGTACCAGGATGGATTGCATCCATCAGTAAGCTGTTCCTTCCCTTATTGGAAATTTTGATGAAGCAACCAGTAACTAGTACACATTCCGAAGGTTAATAACACAGTTTTTGTATGAGTTCAGAATAAACGTACAACTAAGACATATTTTTTTAACTTTAAAGTTGCATTTATTTATTGTGTATATAACACAGTTTTTTGTATGAGTTTAGAAAGAATGTACAACAAAAACATGATTTTTTTAACTTTAAAGTTGCATTTATTTATTATGTATGTATGTGTATGTATATATACACGATCCCACACATGACACAGTATGCATATGGAGGATCACAGGACAACTTTACGGGAGTGACTTCTCTCCTGCTACCATGTGGACCCTGGAATCAAACTCAGGTCAGGCTTTATCCACTGAGCCATCTCACCGGCCCGTATTTAAGTTATTCATGACAGGAACAAAAAACTGGGTAAAGAGATTTCACAAGTTATAACTGTCAAGCACAGTGGCCCACACCTTTAATCTCTGCACTCGGAGAGCAGAGGCAAGTGTATCTCTGTGAGTTTAAGGCCAGCCTGGTCTACATAAATAAGTTCCAGGCCAGCCAGGGCACCCTGTCCCAAAAAAATTTCTTTTTAAGTTATAAATGCCAGGCATGGTGGGTGGCACATGCCTCTAACCCCAGTTCTTAGGAAGTTGAGGCTGTTGAATGGTGACAGATTTAAGGACAGCAAGGCCTACATATCAAGACTATATCTTAAAAAAAAAAATTATAACGAAAGCTGTTGCCAGATATTTGCTCACACTTGTGAACCCCAAGATTGTAATAATTAAATAAAATTAACCACAGGTTGAGAGGCAGAGCAGGTAACCAGTGACTGGAAGTAACCATAGAGTGTGAGGGGAAGCTGGGAGTTCAGAGAAAGAGAGGCACAGGATGTAGAAGGGAGGAATATCCGGTTTGGAGGAATTTTGTATTCAGACAGAATGGGAGAGGGTGTTTTTCTGAGACTATGGCCAAGGAGGGAAGTCATTGGCTTCTTTCTCTGCCTCTCTAAGCTAGCAGGTTTTAGGATGGAGATTTAGTTAACATTTGTGTCCCTACAGGGAGACAGCTGAGAGCCAGGGCTCTCCAGGCCATGGACACAGCAGCCAGGCGGTGGCTGTGGAGACACGGTCAGCAGCTGAGGCAGCGGTAGGATCGGGTGTAGCCACTGAGCAGCAGAGATAAAAAAAAAAAAAAAAAAAAAAACATAAAGCTGATTCAAAAAACTATTTCAGGGGCTGGAGAGATGGCTCAGCGGTGAAGAGAGCTTGCTGCTCTTCCACAGGACTCAAGTTCGATTCCCAGTACCCTTACCAAGCAGCTCACAACCTCCTGTAACTCCAGCTGCAGGGGCTCTAACACCCTTCACAGGCACCTGAACACATGTGCTCATACACATATATAAAAATAAATTTTTTTTTTTAAGTATTTGAGCTGGGGATAGTGGTGTATATCTATAATCCCAGCACTGGGAGACTGGGACAAAAGATGATGATTGAAGGCCAGCCTGAGCTACATAGGGTGACTCAGTTTAAAAAAAAAATACTTAGCTATTAAGAGCCTGTCTCAAAAAGGAAGCAGTTGAGGAAGACACCTTTGCTCCCAACACACGTGATCATAGAGAGTACACCACACACATACCCAAAAAGCCTTTGAAGAATGTAGTTCTAAGTTTTTTGGGGAAAAAAAAGAACAAAGCTGTTAAGATAAATACTGAGCAATTTAGTGACCTTTTAAGACATTCTAAGGCCATAATAATGGGAGTTATCGTTTCTACCAGCCAAAAGTCAATCCTAGCTCCACCAAGGAAAAGAATTACCAAGTTAACATGTGAACCTTGGAAGGGGGCAGGGCTTGTTCAACAGCACCCCATGTAACATCGGAGGGTGCCCTTCCTTTGCCTTATTCTTGTAGCTTGGATTTTATGTCCCTTAACTCCATGGATTGGTTGAGAAGCTAAGATCTAGAGAAAACGCCTCCAAGACATGAATCTGCAGTGTTTAGCATCCTGAAGCCATAACCCTCCTCGCCCTATAGGGATAGTGCCTATGTATGGGGCAAGAGTTTAAAAGCTACCTAAGGGGTTGGGGTTGTGTAGACTAGCTGGAGATTGCTTGCCTACCATGAATGAAGCCCTGAGTTCAATCCCCTATACTGCTAAACAGGCATGGTAGCATCCCAGCATTCCAGAGCCTAAGGCAGGAAGATCAGAAGTTCAAAGTCATCATTGGCTACATAGTAAACTCAAGGCCAGTCTAGACTATGAGTCCCTGTTTCAAGAGCGGATGGTAAATGAGTTGTTGAGCACTTTTCCAGCCCCTCTCTTGACACTTCTACAAATGTGTATGGCATTCTGACCTGAAAAGTCTCTTGAACACACTGGTTTCTTTTATCCTTAACTTTGACCAAGCTACATTATTCCCTAATCCTGAAATACCCACCCCGAAATGGTCATTTTTATTAACCCTTGATTTACATCATGGCATACACACACATACACACACACACACACACACACACACACACACACACACACACACACACACCAAGGAATATTTTCTTCCTTGGTTCTCTCCAATCTGGGGACTCAAACATCTGTACAATGTCTGTTGATGGTTAATCTTGAATGTCAACTTGATTGGCTTGAGAAACACCTGGGAGATTTGTTGAGCACACCTCAAATGTGTGTCCGTGAGGGTATTATGAAAGATGACTAAATCCTGGGAGCTCTAGTTTGCCTAATCAATGGCTTCTTCCCTTAATAGATTCATAATATGGTGGCATTTGGGACAGGTGGTAAAAGGAGGAGGTGAGGCTAATTGGAGGGAGTAGGTTACTGGGGACATGTCCTCAGGGCTATATTTTGTCCAGGTCCCTTCCTGTCTCTTTCTGATTCCTGGCTGAAATGACGTGAACTGCTTTTCTCTGAAAAGTCCTCCCCACCATGACAGACTGAATCTTCTGAAACACAAATACATAATTCTTGCCTTTGAGCTGTTTATGCCCAGTATTTTGCCACAGCCATGAGAAAAGTAACAAAATATCCATTGTTGCAATTAATGCCATATAACCAATGGCAAAGTTTCCATGTGCACCAAGCTTTGTTCTAAATCATTTATTGGTATTACCCAACTTAAGCCTTTCAACAAAGTTAAATATAGACAACTCCATCCTGGGTTGTTTTTGTTTTGTTTTGTTTTGTTTTGTCATTTAAAAAAAAAAGTAAGATTCTGGAAAAATGGAGTGATTCTCCAAAGTTCACATGACTGGAAAGTGGTCAAATCAGAATTCAAATTAAAATATCTCTCTCCTCCCCTCCCCTCATTTTCTCCCTCAAAACCCCCTCTTCTCATCCCAGGTTGCCTGGCCTTGAACTTGCTATGTAGCCAAAGATGATTTTGAACTCCAGATCCTCCTGCCTCTACCTCCCGAACTAATGTTACAGTTCATGTAATGTTCCAGGCATGTGCCACCATGCCTGGTTTATCTGGTCCTGGGGCTGGCAGCCAGGGCTTCATGCCTGCCACACAAGTACTCTACCAATGGAGATATATCCCCAACTCCTAACATAGTTCCTCCACTATATTATATATCAGGAAAAAAAATCAAATCAATACTTCCAAATAACACAATCAAAATAATCAATAGTGAGCGTATACAGTGACTTTCATTAGCATGTCCCTAAGCCGTAATGTGTTGAACAATTCTTCACAAGTTTTAGTAAACTCATGAAAGTGTATGTGAGTTCTTAGTAAAGTGTATCTTCATATATTTTACCCAGTTTGATTGAGGTTTCTTGCTGAGATTTAAAAGTTCTTTATAGAGGCTAGACAGATGGCCCACTGGATAACAAACACTTGCTGCTTTTACAAAGGACCCAAGTTCAGCTCCCAGGACCCAGTGGTTCACAAACACCTGTAACTCCAGCTCCAAGGGGTCTGATGCCTTCTTCTGGTCTCCATGGGCACCTGCACACACACATGTACAAACTCCCACATACACTTGTAATTTTCAAAACACTTAAAATGTCTTTCTATTCTGAATGAAAAGGTTTTGTTGCTATTGTTTTGTTTTGTTGGCAGTCTCATATAGCCCTTGCTGTGGGATATCTTTCTGTACGCTGTGAATATTTGTTGCTCTGATTGGTTGATAAATAGAGCTGCGTTGACCTGTGGCAGGGCAGCTTAGAGACAAGTGGGAAATCCAAGGGGAGAGACAGGAAAGAGAAGGGCAGAGATGAGAGAGATGCCAGCAGCATGTAATGGGACAAAGGTAAAGCCACAGAACATGTGGTAACACATAGATTAATAGATATGGGTTAATTTAAGATGAAAGAGTTAGATAGAAAGAAGCCTGCCCTAAGCAATACAATCGGTAATTAATATAAGCCTCTGAGTGATTATTTTATAAGTGGCTGAGGGACTGTGGGGCTGGGCAGGACCAGAGAAACTTATGGCTACACAGGCTGGCTTTTAAACTTGCTGTATAGCCAAGAATGACCTTGAGTTCCTGATTCTCCTGCCCCCACACCCAGAGTGTTGGGATGTTGGGTGTGTGCCACTGTACCTAGCAAGATCCAAAAGTTCTATAACATATGCTTTGTGAATATTTTCTCCTCAAAATGACATTCCCATACTTTGCCTTTTCCTTCTCTCAACAGTATTTTGTAGACAGATGAAATTTTCATCTGGGTGGACTCTGATTTATTTGTTTACCTTCTATTTTCCTCTACCCTAGAGTGCTTTTCTTTCCACAGCGCTCTGCACCAGCTTTGATAGATTCCTTGAGCAAAGGCATTTTATGGCATATGCCCCCCTTGTCCAGAGTATCCAAGACCATCTGAAACCTGGATGAAGCTGGTTCCCATTGGAAGACATCAAGGATGCTGTAACAGAGCAGTTATGTGGAGATGACTGACAGCTCCTGGAAATTCCTGGGTGACTTCATGTGACAAATTGCAGCCCATGGGCCAGGAAAAGTGGCATGAGTCACGTCTTCATTAAGACCTCTTGAGGTTCTCAGAGACAGTGAATGACCACATCACACCTCAGCCTGAACCTGCTGGCATTCTAGGGACATGCCTGTTCAAACCTCGAAGCTTTCAGATGGTATCAGCTTACAGCTTTCAGATGGTATCATCCTACAGCATCCCACGGCAGCATCCCAGGCTGCTCTTCTAGTGTCTGTGCCTTCCAGTTACTTTGCTTATAACTGTAACAAAGTCACTGACCAGAACAACTTAAGGAAAGGTTTACTGCGGCTCATGGACCCAGGGCACAGTCCATCACGGCGGGGAAAACACAGTGACAGGAATGGGAAGACGTGGCATCCACAGTCAGGAGGCAGAGAGAGATGCATGCTGGTGCTCAGCTCACTTTCTCCTTTTCATTCAATCTTGTGCTGCCCACATTGGTGGTGGGTCTTGCCACCTGAATGCCGTCATTTAAAAACTCCTTCAGAGATTTGTCTCCAGGGTGAATCTACCTTCGCGTTGATCGAGTTGACGCGATCAACAGGAACCAAACTATTCATTCATTCCACACAAGAGTGCTAAACACCTACCAGAGGCCAGGAGCTGTCTAGGGTGCTGGAGGTAGAGAAAGTTAGCAAGTCAGAAAGGGGCTTCCGGCCGTTGTTACGTTCTGTTGTGGGCAAGAGAACAACCTGGAAGTGCATGCATAAGTGTGAGGTTATAGGTGGGGGCTGGAGGAAGGGCTAAGCAGATAGAAGTGCTTGCAGCACAAGCCTAAAGACCTGAGTTCAAGTCCGGGGGGGGGGGGGTGTCACAGTGAAAGGCGAGAACCGACTCCACAGAGTTGTCTTCTGACCTTCATAAGCACACCATGGCTGACCCCCGTATGCTCACACACATGTTCACACACATGCACACACAAATGCACACACGTGAACACACATGCATGCACACACCCACATGCTGAGAGAGAGGAAGAAAGAACAGTTGGGATAAATGCTATAGGGAAAAGTTGATGGTCGGGTGTGGCACACACCTGTAACCAAAGTGTAACCAGCTTTCCGGGACCTGCAGCCCCCAAAATCATGACATGGAGACTTATTATTAATTATGAATGCTCGGCCTTAGCTTAGGCTTGTTTCTAGCTTGCTTTTTTTTTTTTTAACTTAAATTAACCCATTTCTATTCATCTATGTACTGTTCATCCTGCTTTCCTGCTTCCTCTGTGTCTGACTGGCTGGCTGGCCCCTGGCTGTCTGTCTGGCTCCCTTTTTCTCTCTGCCTGCCAGCCCCCACTACCCCTCCTCTGCATAGCTATTGGCCAGTCAGCTTTTTATTAAACCAATCAGGTGCTTTAGGCAGGCAAGATGAAACAGCAACACATCTTTACATAGTTAAATGCAGCATAAACAAAAGCAACACACCCTTACATAGTTAAAACAATTTCTCTATTCCACAACATCGCAGCACTTGAAGGATGGAGGCAAGAGGACCAGAGGTTCAAATCCACCCTGGCTATAGGAGAACCTGTCTCAAAGAACCAAAAGAACAAAAGAAAGGGGGGTCATGTCCTTAGAGTGTGTGTGAAAAGGCTCTGAGGGCTGAGATGGGAGTGGTGAGGTTATCATGGGAGCCAAGAACATGTCAGACTGAAGCCACCAGAACAAGGTAGACAAGCTGATGTTGCTGGAGACCATAGTTTTCTCCTTCTCACTGTATTTCCCCAAATGTCCTCTCCTACTCTCCTTCTGTTTCTGAGACAGTTTCATGTTGCCCAGGTTGGCCTTGAGCTCACCTATAGCTGAAGATGACCTTGAACTCCTGACCTTGCCTCTCCAGAGTGATGGGGTGGCAGGTGCGTACATCAGGCCCATACTCTGCCTTTTTATCCCTTCAAATGTTTCTTATAGAAAGATAAGGTTTTTATTTTGATGACCATCAATGAAATGGAATTAAAAACACCAGAAACATGCCCACATTTATATAGACAATTAAATTTCGACGAAGGGAAAAAAAATCAATAGAAAGAAGTGGGGCTGGGATTTTCAATAAATAATATATTATCTTAATTATCAAAGCTTTATAGTACGTCTGGAAAGAAATAATTTTCCAACTTCAGTTTTTCATTTCCAATATGGATGTCTTTTATTTCTTTTTATTATCTTATTACACGGACCAGAACTTCTGGTAAAATATTGAATAAGAGAGCTGGAGAGGAGGCTTAGCATTCAAGAAGGCTTGCTGCTCTTGCAGAGGATCTGAGTCCACTTTTCAGCACCCATAACTCTAGTTCCAGGGGATCTGATGCCTCCTTTGACACATGTGACAGGCAGGCAGGCAGGCAGACACACACACACACACACACACACACACACACACACACATTCATGTAAGGAATAAATTACACATTCATGAAAGTAAAATACAAAACAAAATTTTAAAGTGCCCGCTTTCTTCTTCCAAATTTTGGACGGACGCATAAATGCATCTCCCAGGTTAAAGGCATTATCTTTTATTCTGAGCTTTCAGAGAGTATTTTTCGGGAATCATGGAAAATTTTGAGCTATGTTTATTAAGGTTAAGGGCTAGGAAGAGGGAGCGGTGGATCAAGCGTTTGCCTCAAAGGTGTGAGGACATGAGTTCCATCAGTAGCACCCACGTTAAGCCAGGGCCAGGAGCACGTGTCTACAACCCCAGCAGTCCTATGCAAGGGAGGTGGAGACAGGAGACCCTCTTGAAGCCCCTGTGGAGTGCACAGCACATCAGCAAAGGAGCCCTGTCCCACACACGGGGGAAGGCAGGGCCCAACACCTGAGGTTGTCCTTGGATCGCCACACCCATACCACAGTGCACAAATACACACACACACACACAATGCCTTCACCATGAGCACGTGGACACCTGTATGACACACTTGAGGAAGCTGACTTAGGTCTAGATTCCCTGATTCCCTAGTGTGAGGCAGAGTCAAGAAAGATGATATTGTATTTCAGATCTGAAGCTGGTGTTTTGAACGGCTGGTTTGTGATGTGCTTTATATGTGAGCCTGTGCATGTGTGTGTATGGTGGACAGAGGTCAGTTCTGGTCATATTGTGTCTCCCAATATATTTTTTTTTTTTTTTAAAGATTTATTTTATTTATTACGTATATGGCATGTATGACTGTAGGCCAGAAGAGGGCACCAGATCTCATTACAGATGGTTGTGAGCCACCATGTGGTTGCTGGGAATTGAACTCAGGACCTCTGGAAGAGCAGTCAGTGCTCTTAACCTCTGAGCCATCTCTCCAGCCCTCCCAATATATTTTGCACCCTAATAAACTTATCTGGGGGCAGAGAACAGAACAGCCACTAGATACAGAGGCCAGAAAATGGTGGCACTCACACCTTTAATCCTAGCATTCTGGAGGCAGAGATCCATCCAGCAGCCACACTGGAAACAGCCAGACATGGTGACACACACATTTAATCCCAGGATGTGATGGCAGGAAGCAGAAAGGTATATAAGGTGTGAGGACCAGGAACTAGAGTTATGTTAAGCTTTTAGGCTTTTAGCAGCAGTTCAGCTGAGATCCATTTGGATGAGGACTCAGAGGCTTCCAGTCTGAGGAAACAGGATCAGCTGAAGAATTGGTGAGGTGAGGTGGCTGTGGCTTGCTCTGCTTCTATGATCTTCCAGCATTCACCCCAATACCTAGCTTCGGGTTTGATTTTATTAAGATCTTTTAAGATGTGCGCTACACACCTTTAATCCCAGCACTTGGGAGGCAGAGACAGGCGGATCTCTGTGAGTTCGAGGCCAGCCTGGGCTACAGAGTGAGTTACTGAGCTACAGAGAAACCCTGTCTTGAAAAACAAACAAACAAACAAACAAAGATTCGTGCTACAGTCAGTCTTGGGTGACATTCTTCAAGAGCTCTCCATCTTGTTTCTGAGACAGGATCTCTCACTGGCCACAAGCTTGCTGATCAGGTTAAGCTGACTGGCTGGTAAGTCCTAAGGATCCACCTATCTCCACCCCCTCGGCACTAGGATTACAGGTGTGTACCACCACATTGGTTTTTACATGTTTTTACATGAGTTTTACATGGACCGAGCTATTACCTGAGTTCCCGTGGTGCTGCTTTGAAAGTTGTGGCACCTATTAGAGGTGGGACTTGACTGGCAGGGGGCGGTCTCTGAAGGTGGGCCTTCCGGTTCCTCTCCTCGGCTTCTTGGTCAGCCATGATGTGAATACCTTCTGCCTCATGCTCCCACCACATGGAGACACTTCCACTGCCGTGCCTTTCTGTAATACACGTGTATTGGTAAACTGCCACGTGTTGTTTGAACACGCTGAGACACTGGCTCTGGAAGTGGGACTGTGCGCGTGCATGTACCCTGCCATTTCAGACCCAAGCATGTTTGTCTCAAAGGGTCCTCCCAGGTCTGGGAATAGGCTGGCCTCCCAAACTCTGTGACAGGGAGGGAAGAGAAGAACAAAACCGCCCGAGAGTAAAAACACCGTGTCCTTGAGAGCAGCTGGGAGGTGAACCATGTCCAACGGAGGTCACTAGTGTTCACCACATGACATAAAAATGCCTGCATTGGGAATTCAGCCATGAGGAGCCCCACACAGATACACGCACACACACTCCAGAGTGAATACATGCGTGCACACAAATAAATAATTTAAAATTGAAAAATTTAAAAAAGCAGGTGTGGTAGTGCACACCTGTAATCCCAGCACTCAGGAAATGCCGTTAGGGAGATCAGAAGTTCAAGGTCATTCTCAGCTACATAGCAAGTTCAGGCCCAGCCTGGGGTACATGCCCCTCCCCCTTTTAACAAGGAAAAAAAAAGCATCCCCTCTTCTTTACCAAAAAGTATCATGAGAGCTTTTCCAAATTCAAGACACACTTGCTCAGCGCCTGTCGTCAGGGGTCTCCTGACACGATCACATCTGTAAATATTCTCAGCAGTAAGGGAGCAGAGGGCGGGGCTTCCTATTTTTTTCCTCATGTCTTCTTTATGAGATTTTTCTCAGGGCTTAAGTCTGATGCCCTTAGAGACATGCAGGATTAGCCCGGGACAGTCAAATCTCTGAGAAGACTCGCCCTCTCTCAGAGTCACCGAGCCCCTTGGTGCTGACTCACCTGCTGCAGAACTAAAGGCAGCTTTCTGTCTGTCGGGGACCCGAGGAAGTGTCTTAAAAAACACCCTTTCCAGATGTCTCCAAAACTGGAGGGGGTGGAGCCATGGCGCAGTTGGTAAAGTGTTTGGCTTGCGAGTGTGAGTATCTGAGTTCAATCCCAAGAACCCACAAGGATACTCGGAGCATGAGCTGGTGGGGTGGCTCAGCAAGTGAAGGGGCTTGCTGCTAAGTCTGATGACCTGACATTGTGGAAGGAGAAAATAGACCTCTACAAGCACGCTGTGGGTGCACGCGCGCGCGTGCAAACACGCGCTTGCGCGCGCGCGTGCACACGCACACATACACACACACACACAAAATAGATAGGTAGATAGATAGATAGATAGATAGATAGATAGATAGATAGATAGACAGATAAACGTAATTTTAAAAAGCAGAATGTACTGACACATACGATTCCAGTGCTGACCAGACAGAGATAGGCAGATACCTGGAGCTCATGGGCAGCCAGCCTATTTAAAAGTGAGTTCCAGGTCCCAGTGAGAGGAACTCTGAAAAATAAATAAAAGGTGGACAGTGCCTGAGGAACAACACCTCAGGCTGATCTCTGGCCTCTACATGCATGTACACATATACCTATACATACATGGGGGGGGCTGACCCCACTTTTCCCCCCAGGGTACTCTTGAACAGGGAGAAATGAGGAATATGTAGATAGAAGTATAGAGGACAGAGACAGAAACATAGAATAGCCTCAGGAGAGCTGGGTCAAAACCCACCGGCCCCTTCTGTCTCTTCTAAAGGGCTTTTAAAAGAATGCCAAGGGGTGGGGCAAAAGCCCTCTCCCCAGCACAGCCAAGTGTAGACCATCCCAAACACCCGGTAACCACACAAGTGGTCAAGCCATCCCCTAATGCAACCCGGCTGTGTACAGCAAGCTCTGACCTCCCTTAGGAAGCTTTTGTGGGCTCCCACATACACGTGACTGCACACACACACACACACACACACACACACACACACACACACACACACTATGAGCATGTGCACTCACAAAAAGGCAAGAAGGAAGGTTGTGAGGGGAGGGAACATTCAATGCATGCTCCAGCACCAGCCTTCACATACACAGGAATGCAAAAGAAGGCGTTATCATGTGTTGGAGTGCTGGTCCCACTGCAGCCCGACTCCAGAGCCCTAGGACGAGGCCGCAGCTGGTTGTATGTAAATTCCTTCATGGTAGAATCTGAACCCAGAGCCTTGTTTAGTGGTTCCCCCTTCAAGGGCTACTGGATGAATAGACCCTAACATCCTTGAGGATCAGCGAGTCCACACACAAGGCCATCGAGCTCTCTGGATACCAATGGACAACACCCCAATAAAATTTCCTCTCTTTAGGGAGGACAGAAAAGGGCAACAGACCTCCCAATGCTGGAGTTACAGGCAGCTGTGACCAAAAGCAACATGAGAGATGAGTTTGTTTCGGTTGACAGTCTGAGTCCATCACGGCAGCAGGAGCAGCTGGTCACACTATGTGCAGTCAAGGATAAAAGATGGATGCTGGTGCTCAGCTCACTTTCGTATTCAGAGCAGGATGCCAACCCATGGGATGGTGCTGCCCATATTCAGAATGAGTCTTCCTACTTGAATAAAAGCCAATCTAGAAACTCCTGTAGAAGTAAGCGTCTTATTCAATAAGAAACACAGAGCCAATGCAGAGACGAAAGCCCAAGAGGTCAGAGCTAAGAGCCTTACCCTTCACTCTGCAGCTATCCTCTTCAGCCAAGAGAGCTACTTCCTGTGTGTTTGTCTTTATATAGACTTTCTGTTCTGCCTTCTCATTGGTTGTAAACCCAACCACATGACTGCCTCGTCACTGCCTGTCTGTACAGACCTCCAGGTCTTCTATGGTTGGTATTGAGATTAAAGGCGTGTGTCTCCATGCTGGCTGTATCCTTGAATACACAGAGATCCGCCTAGTTCTGCCTCCCAAGAGCTGGGATTAAAGGCGTGCACCACCACCGCCCAGCTTCTGCTATGGTTTGCTAATAGCTCTGACCCCCAGGCAACTTTATTTATTAACATACAAATAAAATCACATTTCAGTACAAATAAAATATCACCATAAACTCCCTCACAGACATGCCCAGAAATGCATTTCCACAGCGATTCTAAATGCAATCAAGTTGACTGTGGTGGTCTGAATAGCAATGGCCCCCATAGACTCATGTGTTGGAGGGCTTGGCTCATCAGGGAGTGGCACTATTAGGAGGTTTGGCCTTGTTTGGAGTAGGTGTGGCCTTGTTGAAGGAAGTGTGTCAACTGTGGAGGCAGGCTTTGAGGTCTCCTCTGCTCAAGCCAGGCCCAGTGTGACTCACAGTTGTTCCTGCTGCCTGTGGATCAAGATGCAGAAGTCTCAGCTCCTTCTCCAGCACCATGTCTGCCTGCATGTTGCCATGTCTCATGCCATGACAATAATGGACTAGACTGTAAGCCAGCCCAATTAAATGTTTTCTTTTAAAAGAGTTGCTGTGGTCATGGTGTCTCTTCACAGCAACAGAAACCCTAACAAAGACATTGACAATGGAGACTGGTCATCATATTTGATCTCTAATATTTTCTTTCTTTCTAGGCAAAGAAGTTGCATACAGAGCTGTAAGGAATTTGGACTTGTGGAGTATCATTGTGGAGGCCTGTAATCTCAACACTCTACAGGCCAAAGCAGGAGGATCATGAATTCAAGGCCAGCCCAAGCTACATAGCAAAAACCCATCTCAAACAACCAAATTAATAACAAATAAGAATAGTAATAATAATAATAAGAGAAAGAGAGACAAGGCAGAAGCTTGAACAGAGGCCGTGCTGTAACTGGAGTGTTCTCCAGTCCTGCCTGGCCCATGGTCTCTCTACTTTGCCACATGGCTCATGGCTTGCTGGTACTTTACATCCTGCTCCTCATCGTGTAGGCTGGCAGCATCTCTCTGCCTCAGCCTTCCTGTTCCCAGAATTCTCTTCTCTGCTTGTCCCGCCTGTACTTCCTGTCTGGCTACTGGTCAATCAGCATTTTATTTATACAGAGCGATATCCACAGCACTGTGCCTTCTCCTGGGTAAAGAAAGATCTCCCATATTGATGGAGCAAAATGGTATCTTCCAGAAATGGTTTTGTCTCTGTGTGAATTCCACACAGAACCCCAATAAGAACCTCTGAGGACTTGGGACTCTGGCAAGTGGAAGATCTCCAGGCAACACAGCCATTTGTACGGTGTGGTCTCTGTTAGGAAAGGATGAAACAAGGAGATGGGAAATGGCTCTGATGGCAAGAGCCAGGAGACCCGAGTTCAGTCCCAGCATCCTCTCTGAGCGATTCACAACCACCTGTTACTCCAGCTACCAGCGAATCCAATGCCTCTGGCCTCCATGGGCACTGCCCTCATGCACATACACTCTCACGTGCACGCGCACGCGCACACGCACACACATAATTTAAAATATGAGTAATTTTTTAAATAAAAAATCCTTTCAAAGAAAGAATAAAACAGCAAAGCAGTCAGATGTGGAAGTGCATGTCTGTGATCTCAGCACTCAAAGGCGAAGGCAGGAGGATTGCGTGTTTGATGGTCAGCCTGGGCTACACAAAAAGACGATCTCAAAGATGGCAAAGCAACACAAAAACATTAAAAACAAGAAAAGAAAAGGAATAATCAGCTGGGAGGGCAACCATAAAGTACAACCCAATGTTAACCCAAAATAAAAGGTCCTGTAATGCAACCGCTTGAGTGGGGGAGACTTGATTTCATCTCTTCTCTGTTGTGCTCCCCTGATCACATCGTCCATCTTCTCTGAACCTGGAACCCCCCTCTTTGCGGTAAGAAATGATGATCTCTAACTCACAGTATTGTTCCAAAGGTGACGTCACAGCCCCCAAAAGCTATCTTATTTAAAACAGAACGGTAAGATGACTCGGCCAGCAAACTGCTTGCTACGTGTACGTGAGCATGAGGTGCTGAGTTCAATCCCAGCACCCATGTAAAAAGGTGGGCATGGTCTCCCATATTTGTAAGCCCCGTGTTGGGGAAGCAGAGGCAGTTCGAAGCCCTGGGCTCACTGGCCAGCCAACTGAGCCTACTAGGTCAGTGAGAGACTCTGCCTCAAAAA